TTTCCTGTAAGTTCATGAAAAGTGTCAAACGATCAGCTGATTTACATCTGCAAACAAAAACAGAAAGCGGTGAAAGCAAAGAACCTTATATTTGTTATAAAATTGAAGTAAACAACGAAATATTTAAATATGTATAGATTTTATTAATTATTTAGTGATATTTCAGCCAAATCAGTGTAGTGCCAATGACATGTAAACAAACCGTCTGACGTTTTTACAGGAAATAGTGCTTTTTGCGTTCCTATGCACTTGTGCATCTGTTCTCCTTTTACTCTCATTTGAGAGCGTAAAATTGTAGTTTGACAGTTCCACAGGTTTTAGTCCGAAGTTCAAAGGAACAGACTGATTGACATAAAACCTGTAAGTGGGAACACATTTGAGAGAGTAACTGAGCAACTGTTCCTAGTCAGAAGTTACAGGATTTAGTCCGGAGATTTTTTTCCTGCAAGTTCATGAAAAGTGTCAAACGATCAGCTGATTTACATGTGCAAGCAAAAACAGAAAGCGGTGAAAGCAAAGAACCTTATATTTGTTAAAAAATGGAAGTAAACAACGAAATATTTGAATATGTATAGATTTTAATAATTATTTAGTGATATTTCAGCCAAATCAGTGTAGTACCAATGACATGTAAACAAACCGTCTGACGTTTTTACAGGAAATAGTGCTTTTTGCGTTCCTATGTACTTTTGCATCTGTTCTCCTTTTACTCTCATTTGAGAGCGTAAAATTGTAGTTTGACAGTTCCACAGGTTTTAGTCCGAAGTTCAAAGGAACAGACTAATTATGTTTGGCAACCAAATTGTAAACAAAAGAAAAGTTCACTCTGCTAATTCATGTTGAAAAGTATTTAATTACTTGTTTAAGTGGATTCTTATGAATTTGAAAGTATTTTTGGTTATTTACATGTGTGAGCTGAGTGTGTTTACATACAAAATAAGCAACAATTTACAACCAAAATTTGGTGGTTATGTTGAAGTTGACAGAAGTTACCATTTTTTACTGGAAAGCGATCCCGTACTTTTCAATGTTACTCTCTCGCTCTGAGAGAATTTTTATTTTTTGACAGTTTTACAGGATTGCACCTCATACTGCTTGTCAAAATGACAGTTGGTAGGCCATCGGTGTTTGCCTGTGGAGTTCTGCGGTTATGTGACCACTCTCAAGCAATGCCAAGTATGCATAACAGAGCCTATAAGTTCTGAACACATTGAAAACGACAAGCTACGGGCAGCGACATCAACAATTTTTGAGTTTTAGCCAATTTACACGATGACTTTTCACGCTGGGTGGAAAGTCATGCGTGTCGAGCTTGTAGGCAAGAAGTGTACTGAAGTCAGCGGTGTAGGCAAGCACGCACGGTGAGCGAAATAAAGGGGTTTTTGAAACGTTTCGCTTTTATCGAGTTCACTTTTTCGGGTGTATAATGAAATCCCGATATACAAAATACCGAAATACAGATTCCCGAAAGACATTATCCAGACACGGCCAAATCCCGACCAGACATAATCCAGACACGACCAAATCCCGACCAGACATAATCCAGACACGACCAAATCCCGACCATACATAATCCCGACAAGACACAATCCAGACAAGAAATCCCGACAAAAAATCCCGACAAAATATAAAAATAATTAAAAAATCGCGCGATTTTTTAATTATTTTTAAATTTTGTCGGGATTTTTGTCATGATTATCTTCTGTTTTCGCTCAAAAATAATGTATAAAAGACACAGTTGTTGTTATTGTTGTAAGGGCTTACTTAGCCCGTAATTGTCCGCAGGCTCAACTGACGGTAGGCCCAGGAGGTTTAATATTTCGATGAGGTAGAACCAGAGGGAGAGGGGGGATGTTAGTTGAGTTAGATTGAGTGAGCATGTGAAGAGGTGGTTGGTGTCAAGGGAGGAATCTCCACATGCTGGACACTCATTTTCGATGTTGGGAGGCGAGTTGGGCCAGAGTTACGCGGGTATCTCGTGGCAGTTGAAGCTCACTCTCGTTCACAGGTGGTGATTGGCACTGATGATGGCATTCACTTGACTGGAGTTTGCAAATACCGTTAATAACCTGTCTGTATAGTCCCAGTCCCAGGGGTGCTGTGCGTAGTGCTTGACCTGGTCCTTCAGCTAAAGCAAGTTCGAGTGCTGACAACTGTAGCACCTTACTGGGAGAATTTCAGCTTCACTATGGATGTGATGTTCTGGCGACATCAGAAGACATCCTCTGGTTGTCCAGGGTGTTGTATTGTGGCATGTCTTTAGTTTCGTCCACTGCGAACCAATTGTCCCCGGCGAGAACACAGGCGCTGCATAATTTAGAACCGGACGGCTTTGTATGTTTGCAACACCGTTTCTTTGTCTTTGGCCAAGTACTGCCGAATTGAGGACTACGGCTCTGTACTTTGGTGGCAATTTCGGTTGTATGCGCCGGGAACGAGAGCTAGATTTGACAATTTTCCGGTTATTCACCGTTGGAATTAGTTTGCCATCAACGAGAATACGCAGCTTTCGTCCTTGTGGTAAGGTTAGGCTCCTTGCAGTGAAGAAGCGAAAAAATGTGGAGTGGTAACCGTTTATATTTAGGCATAAGTCATCAATTTCATTTCCGGACGCATTGTAATTTTTTTTGTCTGGATTGTGTCTTGTCGGGATTTTGAGTTGTCGGGATTTTATCTTGTCTGAATAATGTGTTATCTGTATTTTATTTGGTCGGGATTTTGTTATGTCTGTATTATGTCCTGTCTGGATTTTGTATTGTCTGGATTTTTAAAAATTGTCTGGATTATGTCTAGTCGGGATCTTCAAAGTCGGGATTATGGAGTGCTCCCCACTTTTTCGTATTTTCGCTTTAAACTCGCGATTCGCTCCTCTTTAAAAATGAGGACGAATGAGTTGACCAACGAAAATTTTACGCTTAAATGTCAAAAATACGCAAGGAACGACCCAAAGAAAAACTCACCTCGTAAATGCACGAGGATTTTCGAAGACTTTTTAAAAGGGAACGTGCCAAAAACACATGGTGAAAATTCGACGTGTAAATCGGCTCTTTGACATAAAAGAAGAGGAGGAACCTTATCTGTCGCTGGAAAAATAGAAATAGATCTAATCGGGCCACAAGCACAGTCGTCGCGTAGCCCGGTCGTCGCCAAAATAATTATCTACATTAGAGTGCGTGTTAAAACAATTTGACAGCTGAGGTCCGTAGCTCGTCGTTTTCATTGTGTTCGGGGTATAAAGGCTCTGTTATACATACTTGGCATTGCTTGAGTGTTGTCACATAAGGAATCTGTTAAATGAGCTTCGCGTGTAAGCGGTTACTCAACGCACAGCATTACATACGTAGAAGTCTGTTGGTTTTTGATTTCTACGTAAAAATGGTATAGCAGTGCATGCAATGCCAAGTATGCATAACAGAGCCTTAAGGCTTTAGCAGAGGGCTGCACTTTAAACGACGATATGTACGTACATACATACGCATGAGTACCTAGGTTTTATTTTACCTTCCTTTTATTAGCTCGGGATGTAACTATGTAATATTGATGCGCCTAAAAGATGCAGCGATTTCTATTCTCTAGTTACATACCTGATGACAGTACGAATGGCAATTATAATAGGGAGGTTTTCGTTTTTTAAACTATATTTTTTTTTTACCGAGATTCAAATTTGAAAATAAATTTTTACTTACCTCCCTATTTTGTTACCTTTTTACCTTTTATTAGCTCGGGATGTAACTATGTAATATTGATGCGCCTAAAAGATGCAGCGATTTCTATTCTCAAGTTACATACCTGATGACACTACGAATTGAAATTATAATAGTGAGGTTTTAGTTTTTAAACTACAATTTTATTCAATTAGCTACATAAACCGCATTGTTATGTACATATATGTGTACTTGGGTAAAAGAGGAAAGAATCGGTTGAAAAAAATGCCTGAGCTACCGAGTAACTATGTACAAAGCCAGGCGTAGTAAAATCGTTTATACACGTAAGCACACGATGAAAACACTCTTCATAAATAATTACGGGACGATACGTAGTATGTAGACGCGTGCATACATATTTGGATACATACGTTTACAGAGCGATTCGCAAATGCCTATATACTTTCACATATATGTATAGGACTATGTACATGCATGTAATATACGCAATTAACTCCACCGTTTACAAGAAAAATCTTTTAAATAACGAAACTTTTACCTATTTCCACATTTTCATTGTACTTGTATCATTAGATCTGGGGATATCTGATAAATTTTTTACCAAAATCGAATTTTCTTCGATAATTTGCAAGGAATGTGTGTGTGTGGATGTACACAAAGCCATGCACCACATTTTTTCATCTAAATGTTAAAATACAACGAGACTTACCTTCAATACGAATTGAAGTCACTTAGTTATTCAATTAACACTATTTTTTAGCTATGAATTAACTTTTAAATATATTTTAAACCACTTTTTTCACGTAACACTCAACTGCGACGTCTACTTTCTCGATTTTGATGAAAAATGACATTGCCAAAATGGCGACCGATTGTCGCTGAATATGCTCACAATTTGCTGAACATGGTGTTGCCACAGACTTCACAACTTTTTCAAAAACAATTCGTGGTTATGTTTGCAAATGAAATTAAGGGTAATGGTAAATATTTGTTCAATTTATAAAATAGTGCACATTTTTCCGTAATTTGTTTGGTATTTTTTAGTGTAATCACAAGGATATCGTTAATATTTTGTCAAAAGTTTGGCATTCAAAAAAACGCTGATTATTTTGAACTGGTAATTCGTAAAGAAGAAGCATTTCTAACTTGACAGCTTGTACAATTACTTCCGTCAAAAAAAAAAATTGTGGAACTACGTGGTTCTCAAAATTTGTGTGAATCTCGCGTACAAATGTATATTTTGTAAATTGTGTACCAGAAATGTCACTGACAAGCGAAGATACCATGTCAACTACGCATCCTGGCCAGCAAACTGAAAATGATTTTTATGGCAGAGCACAAAAATATTGGTCCGAGGTGCCTGCAACAGTGAATGGCATGCTCGGTGGATTAGGGTATCTGAATAGGATTGACATCCAAGGTTCCAGTAGTTTTTTGCGTGAATTAAAGGACTTGGATAGAAATACCGCACTAGATTGTGGTGCCGGCATTGGACGTATAACAAAAAACTTGCTACTGCCACGTTTTGAAACAACGGACATTGTCGAACAGAATGCCAGTTTCACGGAGAAGGCACGCGAATTTTGTACTGAAAATAATGAACACCTAGGTAGACTAGGGGAAATCTACACTATGGGTCTTCAAGAATTTACCCCAACAGCCGGTAAATATGATGTGATATGGTGTCAATGGGTTTTAGGACACCTTACCGAAAATGATCTGCTCAATTTCTTCCGCCGCATACGTAGTGGTTTGTCCACTAAAGGCTATTTAATAGTTAAAGAAAACGTCACCTCGTCCAGCATGGTCGAAGAAGACAAACAAGATTCTTCGGTGACAAGGCCTTTAAAGGCCTACGAGACAGCTATTAGAAGCGGAGGATTCCGGATTGTGAAATCCTGGCGCCAGCAGAGTTTTCCCCCAGGTTTATATCCAGTTTACATGCTGGCATGTCGCCCTACAGAGTGAAATTGTCTTTACAAATTTTAGCTGTACTATAGTTTATAATAAAAAACATTGAAAATTAAGAAGTGTATTTTCATTTTTGATGGTATGCATTAATTCATTTTTTCACTTGCATCTCTGCAATTTGTTGAGCGATACGAATAACATTTTAATTGTCAAACATTGTGAATTGTCATGAAAACTTAAGAGGAAGCAGTACTTTTTGTTTCTTTTTGCTACGTAGCGCATAGGAGTTGCGGGTGTGAAATTATTTGGTTAAAATATAGATTTGTTAGGCATTTTTGAAGAACAAATAAGCATGAATTCGCCCCCAGTATTTATTGACTTATCTTTGGATGAACAGGTAATCTGTGCTTTTTGGTAAACTTCTATTGCAAGAAAACTCCTCTGTTTGAGGTTATGTTTCTGTATACGATGCAGCGAGGTGCTTTGATAATTTCAGTTATAACTATTGCAGGTGCAAGAGCTTAGAAAGTTTTTCAAAAAATTAGGAGCCGAGATTTCTTCAGAAAAATCCAACAAAGGCGTTGAAGATGATTTGCACAAAATCATTGGTGTTTGCGATGTTTGCTTCAAAGACGGTGAACCCTCACAGATTGATGGCATCCTCAACAGCATTGTTTCCATTATGATTACAGTAGTAATAGTTGTTCTTTTACTGAACTCTTTGATAACTTTCTAATATATTTCAGATACCACTTGATCGCGGCGAAAACATTGTTTTGGCGTATTGCGAAAAAATGACTAAGGCACCAAATGTGCCTCTGGCTAAAGTTTGTTTGGAGTCATTGTGGCGTTTGTTCAACAACTTGGATACTGCATCTCCTTTGCGCTATCATGTTTACTATCATCTTGTACAGGTTGCCAAACAAAGTGATCAAGTTTTAGAAGTCTTTACCGGTGTTGATCAGCTGAAATCGCAATTTGCCAACTGCCCACCTTCCAGTGAGCAAATGCAAAAATTATACCGATTGTTACATGATGTAACAAAAGACACCAATTTAGAGTTGTCGGCTAAGGTGATGATTGAATTGCTGGGCACATACACAGCTGATAATGCTTGTGTTGCACGTGAAGATGCCATGAAGTGTATAGTAACAGCACTAGCTGATCCCAACACCTTTCTGCTGGATCCGTTACTAGCGCTTAAGCCCGTGCGATTCTTGGAGGGCGATTTGATTCATGATTTGTTGTCAATATTTGTATCGGACAAACTACCATCATACATTCAGTTCTATGAAGATCACAAAGAATTCGTTACTTCCCAAGGTTTAAATCACGAACAAAATATGAAGAAAATGCGTTTACTGACTTTCATGCAACTGGCGGAGAGTAATCCAGAAATGTCATTTGAAACACTTACAAAAGAATTGCAAATTGCTGAGGATGAGGTGGAGCCGTTCGTCATAGAGGTGTTGAAAACTAAACTGGTTCGTGCCCGCCTGGACCAGGCCAATCGCAAAGTACACATTTCATCAACTATGCATCGCACATTTGGCGCTTCCCAATGGCAACAGTTGCGTGATCTTTTATACGCATGGAAGGAGAATTTGAGTACTGTGCGTGAAGGTTTGGTAAGTGTTTCTGCCGCACAGATCGAGTTGGCCCGTAGTCAAAAATTGGTACATTAACCAATCAACAACAAATAGCAGCAGATGAGATAACTTTGGTCTTTTATATTTAACAATGATATAAATAAATTTAATTCGAAGTAAGAAAAACAAAACTACTAAATTTTCATTTTGCCAACGTACAGTTAACTTATGGATATCGAAATCACTGCATATAAACGTATGTACATAAATATATATTACCATATGTACTAAATGCATTGTCAGCCTACGTACAATTATGTACACACATTTGAATGCATATTTAACTTCCAAGGAAATCTAAACGGATATGTAATTTGCTACACAGACAATTCCATAATGAATAAAATGGAATTTTAACCCAAAACCACAACCGACTTCAATGCTCACAAAAAATATAGGAGTACCATTAATTTCTTTATGATCCAATGATTACAGTTAAACGAAATTAGTATGGATATTGAAGCCGTCTTAACAGCTAACAGCTCGACCCGCGATATCCCCAATGCTGGTCGGGCATGTGGAGGCTCCCCGCGACACCAACCACCTCTTCACATGTTAGCTCAGACCAATTCAGTTAACACCCCTCTCCCTTTGGGTCGCCCCGACGAAACAGCCCGTTTCTTGGGCCTACCGTCATTTGAGCTCTACGACAACGATTAAAGTGCGAACCGACCTAGGCGGGTCATTCCAGTGCCATTACAACAACAACTGTATTGGATAACCCTGAGGGGCAACCTTTCCAACAAAAAAAAAATCGACTGCGCCTGTCGTCTTGTTCCATACAATACATACAGTGGAATTAAGTCTCTCCGATGTATGCAGTTAATGAACTTGCATTTTGCTTAAATTGTATTTTAAATTTATTATGTATATACATTTAAGGCAACCTGTTAACTAAATACAATAAAACCAATATACATATGCAGTCAAATCTATTGAAATTCATGCTATTAGTTAGAATGCTTCCTAAATTGGTATTTTTCTAGTTAGAAAGCATGTTAATCGAAATATTTACATTCTAATTTACTGTTGGTTTAATTCTAAACTATAAATATCCCTTATGGAAAATATTGCTTTGTTAGGAATAAGCCCGCCATTAATGAATGATGTCATTGCGCAGTACGCATGTTCCATTAAATACGTAAATATGTGCTTACTTTGGAAGTTATAAATTTTCCAAAATCGGTTTCAATCTTTCAACGATTGTAGACACTTCAGCCATTGCTCCAATGCCGGTGTCACCACACATTAAGGTCTTCGAAATACAAGGAACTTCAATGTAGCCCCAAGATTTAAGTTTACCAATTTGTTCATAAGTCAAGGGGTGGTCGTACATACGGGTATTCATTGCTGGACAAAAGAGCAACGGCTTGTGCAGATCCCAAGCGCGGACCACACATGTCAGCAAGTTGTCGCATATACCCTAAAAAATAGTTGTGAATAACAGATAAGCTAAAATTTAAATGATTCGTTCCATAAAAAACTCATTCCCACCGTAGATATTTTTGCGAGTGTGTTTGCGCTGAGCGGCGCAATAAGTAATACATCCGCCCATTTACCCAATTCTATATGTAATACCGGATCACCCCTCCTTTGCCACATTGACCATTCCGCGACATCAATCAATACCTTTACGTTTGCGGGCAAAAGTGTGCTCTCGAAAAAGTGACGGGCATGTTGTGTGGGAACTATTTTAATCTGCAAGTAGTTTGCAAGAATTCTTTTAAGAATTCCCAATAAATGAAAATAATATACTTACGTTTATGGCATAATCTTGTTCAAACTCTTTGATCTTTTCGATAAGCAGTGGAAGTTTAATGGTAGCTACACTGCCTGTAACACCGATTAATATGTTTTTTTGTGGTCTCATCATGGTTTTTGTTACTTTGTTTTACTATTTTCTGTGTATTGCACTTAATTTTTATTGGTATTTTCATTCGCATTCGCGTTATGCTCGTCTTCGAAACCTAGCTTGGACCATTGGGTCTGCTCCATCAAATTATTTTGCATACGACAACCCAGATACTCTTTAGCTTCCAGTCGGCACTTTGAGTTGTTAACGCTGTTGCGACGCAAACAGCTCATGTAAAGCAGATAGTACTTTTTGCAAATATTTTCGTGATCAAGTGGAAAGCTGCCTTTCTCCGGTGGTGTTGGTATGAATGACTTCTGATTAAGCGTATTTGAATTCATTTGACAAAGTAATGATGCGATAGCTACCTGGGAACGGGTTTACAAGCGATTACACAAATTTTACGTGAAACAAAATTAGCAGTGACATCTGAAGGGAAATAGTTGTAAATATAAAATGTAATCACAAATTGTGATTCACAATCGTGTTCTGAAATTAACCCAGTACATAATTTAATAAATAAACCATGCGAAATATACATGTACAACGTATATCTAAAGAAAAAAGTAAACATTTCTATGTTTTTTCGTATTAAAAAATTTAATTCAGCATTTTATACGAACTACTAGAGCTATAACTGCAATTATATCAATAGGTGCGTTCAACAATCAAAAATTTGTAATATTTTTTTAAAATTTTGGGTTGGGTTGGGTTGGGTTTGGTTGGGTTGGGTTTATGGCCGTTCGTTAAAGGGGCGGTGGGCGAAAGATAAGTAGGCGTGGCACCTCTAACCCACCTTTTTGGAGAGGGAATGAACCGCCATTGATAAAAATGCAACCCCCGACCACCTAGGTCCCCTATGGTTCCCTAGGGACCCCTTAGTAAAATTGTCAAAAATCACAATTTTCATTTGCGTTTATTCGCTTGAAAAATGTTAAATATTCATACACAACACATTTTTATATACACATTTTTATATACAAGACATTTTTATAAAACACCCAGTAACCAAAATAGACATCACTGGGGCGGCAGCCCCAGGTTTACCACACAGAAAGGGAATTCTAGTTACCTCATCCTTTCCCAAGGTTACATCACTGGGGCGGTAGCCCCAGTTAGGTCACACAGAAAGGAGAATTCTACGTAGTAAGGGTTATAATCCCTAAGCGCGGCCGAAGGCCGCCTACGCCGAAAGGAAGTCTACGCAAAAATACTGTGGACACAAGTAAAAATTGCGATTTTTGGCCATTTTTCTAAGGGGTCCGTAGGGAACCATAGGGGGCCTAGGTTGTCCGGTTGCATTTTTGTCAATGGCGGTTCAAGCCCTCTCCAAAAAGGTCGGTTGGAGGTGCCACGCCGACTCCCCCTTCGCCCCCGCACCTTTACCGAACGGCCACAATGGAAAGTTTCCCCCAAATATTTACTGGATGGCGTTCGATAACGACAAAAAATTATCCAACACACAAAAATTGAGAGAGCAAGCGTTCATTTTGATGCACGAGAAGCGTTCATTTTGTACTGGCACAATTTTAGTCAGCAAAAATTATCCAACACGAAAACATATGATCACAAAACATATGGTTGCAATGTTTGTAAACAAACAAAATTGCATTTTTCGAGTTTTGGTATTTATATGCTTTTTGGCTGCCTGCTATGTGATTTTATGATAGTGCCAACTAGTTTTTACTTCTAGAAATATTCCTGGCGAACATAAAATGTTCACTTTCCTTTTTTGTACCATGGAGGCAACATGAATTTCAGTTTGTTTACAAATAAAACATAAACTATGTTCACATTACCAACATAAAATATTTAGTTTCGTTTAAAATATCTCACTAAATTAAGTGCGCTCATACACGCGTTTCTTTATTTGTCTTAGACAGCTTTGTAGCAACCCCGTGTTATTGTTTATTTAACGAAAAGAGATCGCGAATGTGAGTAATTGCGTATATTTTTAACCGACTTCCAAAAAAGGAGGAGGTTATCAGTTCGTCGGAATATTTTTTTTTTTTTTTATGTATGTTACCGCATAACTTTAGACAACGTCAACCGATTTCGATAATTCTTTTTGCATCGGAAAGGTAGTGTCCCAGAGGTGGTCCCATACTAATCTGGTTAAGATCCGATCAGCGGATCATGAGATATATATATATATATTTTTTTTTTATATGAGAGTTGAAGTCGGTTTTTTTTTTGCTAAAAATTACTTGTTATATTCTGAGTTGTTTGTGGTAATTCTTTAGATTTTAGATGAGTGATCAAAAGAGAAAGCTTCTGGAATTATTTTACAAACTACCACGCGCGATTATTAAAAACAAAAACGTCCAAACACATTGGCCCGTAGTCATAGTCAAAATAAAGTCGACTTTAAAGTTAGTTGCAGCTTTTTGACATAATTTTCAATGGGATATCTGTCAAAAAAGCTGCAACTAACTTTAAAGTCGACTTTATTTTGACTATGACTACGGGCCATTGTGTTTGGACGTTTTTGTTTTTAATAATCGCGCGTGGTAGTTTGTAAAATAATTCCAGAAGCTTTCTCTTTTGATCACTCATCTAAAATCTAAAGAATTACCACAAACAACTCAGAATATAACAAGTAATTTTTAGCAAAAAAAAA